GGGGGGGGGGTTTGGGATGGAGGGGGGGTGCAGAAGGAAGCCTGGGGTAATGGAGGGAGTTTGGGTGAAGGTGGCAGTTGTGACCTGAGGCACTGGACTGGGGTACTGGGGGGTGGATTAGGACCTAGGGCAGGGAACTGGGGTTCAGGAGGGGGTGCGGGGATTTGGGCTGGGAAGGCCACCAGGGAGCAGGCGGAGAGGGAAAGCAGTCATCAGGGGAAGGGAGCTAAACATTAGTACGCACAATGCCACCAAAAAGGTACAGCCAAGGGGGAAAGAGCAGCCGCGGGGAGAGAGAAAAGGAGACCGGGTAGCCGCGGCACAGGGCATGGCACAGGGAGCCCACCTGCCCCAAGGAGGGCTCCACGACAGCGAGGCTGGGAACCGATTCCTTGGCGAGGATTTCCCCCACTTCCGTACGGCAAACCGACCACTCGCCAGTGGAGCTGAGGGACTGGCACCCGTCCCAGCCCCACGTGAAGCCGCACATGCAACAGAACCTCCTAGGGCCTGGGGTTTGGCATGAGGATCCCCACTTGCAAGCCACAGCACACGAGGGTGCACGCAGCCACACAACGGGCTGAGGAGCCGCTGTCACCGCCCAGAGACACTCAGGTGCCACAGGCCCGCGCCTTGTTTTTAAAGTTACAGACTAACCTGCCTACCCCCGGGACTTTTCACCACCACTCTGGGATTCACGCGCTCCCCTTGTGCTGCAGTTGCTCTCCTGTGATGTCCATGCAAATGAAACGTTGTTTAAACCATTAATATGTTTACAATGAGCTCACTGCCTGTCCTTCGGCAGGACATTCCCCACCTTCGCTCCAGGTTTGCTTCCCTGTTCTCCCTCCCCCGTGACACAGCAATGCACCACTACACTGATAGAATGACTCCTAGCTCGCCCTGTGCAGGGTACAGGTTGAACGTCTCTCGGCCAGGATTCGCTGGCCCAGCCACATCCCTGGTGCGGCAGGACCACAGATGTTGCTAGATCAGACAGCCCCAGCCACGGAGCTGGAGAGCGGCTGGGAGTGGAGCCAACCTGGCAGGCGGCAGCCCCCACAGCCAGTGACCTGTGGGCCAGGAGACCTAGAAGTGGCTGCCGCCCCCCTGGGGCAGGGAGCAGAACCCTGCAAGTGGACTGGAGGCAGCAGAGCCAGGCAGGTAGGATGGGGGAGTTAGGCCTCTGAGTTCTCCCAGAGTGGAGGGGAGCCCAGGGAGAACCCACGGCCTGACCTTCCCTGGTCAGGTCCCAAGGGTGCCGGACTAGGGAGGTCCGGCCTGCGTAGCTAGTTTCTAAGCATCTCCTTTCAACTGACCTGTAGAGCAGCTGTGTGGCGCTCAAACGCCTCATGCCACTGGGTGGATTAGCTCTCAGCCCATCCCGTTTCTGCCTACAGTAACAGCCCACCCGAGGCCACATTTGCCTTATCCCTGAACGACGCAGCCACCTTTTTCTGGACCTGAGGCTCAAGTCCAGCTTGTTTGCATCTTCCCCAGAGCGAGCATTCTGTCTGAAACTCAGCCTGCCGTCTTAGGGGCTAGACCCACCGCTTTCACCTCCCCTCAGGCCGAAACGTTTCTGCCTGCCCAACAAAATGCCTGAAACACAGACAGGAGGAAGAAGCAGGCAGCTTCCCCGCACCGCTCTCTGCGTAAGAAGTTATATTCCCTCAAGCAGCATTCCTTCCACGCTTGATGCCATTTCTGTGGAGGGTTTGCTGCACTCCAGGTGAGTGAACTCACTAGGGACCCACCTGCAGAGCCGGGCCCGGATGGGCCAAATTCTGCCCTACTGATGTCAGTGTGGAGAGCGCACTAAGTTCCTGAAATCCACAAGGAATGCTGCAAACGCCGAGGCGAGTTTTTCCTCTCTGAAGAGCCATGCAATATTTTCAACAGCAAAGTCGCCTTGAAAAACACACAGCGCGAGGGCTGCACTGAACATCTGCTCTCGCGAGCCATTCGGGCAAAAGCCTGACATTTAACTTCCGCCAAATAAGGCTTTGAATGCCTATTGGAAGCCAAATGGTCACAAGACACAAGTCCATTCCTGAGGTGTCTGCAGTAGGATTAGCTCAGCCACTTTCCCCATCTTCCCAGTAGCCAGTTTGTGGCGATAGCGAGGAGGAGGAGGAGGGTCCTGAGGAGTCTCGAGACTTTTTGGCCCTTCTATGTGGCGAGAGTCGCTTCTCACCCCCTCACGGTCAGTTTGCATCATAAGAACGGCCATATTGGGAGGTTCCTGGGGGCGCTGCTGAGAGGGTGAAATCAGGGCAAATTGCTCAGAGAAATGGCTATCTACAACCCAAGACTGAGGGTCCTCCACTACAAGGCACACCACACCAGTCACCGAGCGCACTTTGGTTTACCACACTGGCTAGCAAGCGGTCATACAAGCATTTCACTACAGACACCCCAGTTCTCCTGTGCCCCACCAGTACCATTCCCCAGACAGGTGAGGGGTTATGAAAACCCATCTCACCAAATCAAAAGAGGCTCTTCTGACCCCAAGGGACCAGCCACATTCCCAGGTAATGCAGAACTCCGATCTTGCCCCCAAAAGCATGCCGTTAGACAGTCCTTTAGAAACTAACATCTACACGTTTACACATAAAAAGAAAGGGGGAGAGTTAAATTGTTCAAGGAATCAAATACATACACCAATTCCAAAGTTCTTGGTGTAGGCTGATAGGAGAGTTCAATCAGGTCTCAGCAATACATCTGCTGTTGGGATGGGTCATCAGTCCGTTTCTCACGCTTCCGATGGCAGCAAAGATCCTCCAGAGAGGAGAAGCTGGGCTGAAGCCAAGTCCTGTTTATGTCCTAGGCCAGCAGGAGGAACTCCCATGGCTCTGTGGAAACACACAGTGATAACGCAGTTTGTCACATGAGCAAGTCACCTATCTGTGTCCTTTTTAGGCAGGGTCCACATTCCAGGCTGAAGGTTTGCAGGAGAGTCCATTCATGGGGGCCTCCCATGTTGCATTGTTGGGTAAATGCTCCTTGATGGGCCAATCGACCAGGGCAGCCTCTCCCAGACATGCTGGCTAGCTAACCAGGGCGGAGCACTCATGAGACCCCCCCTCCCAACTCCGGCCTCTGCTTGAACCACAAGGAAGACTTGCAAAAAGCAATGAAAAGTCAGGGGAAGCCACACAGAAACCCTTCCAGACAATAGTGATAGAGATGCAGCTGTGTTAGTCTGGTGTAGCTGAAACAAAAGACAGGACTATGCAGCACTTTAAAGACTAACAAGATGGTTTATTAGGTGATGAGCTTTCGGGGGCCAGACCCACTTCCTCAGATCAATATGTGGAAGAAAATCGGCACAACCATATATACATGCATTCACTTTTTCTTTTTTTTGGTTGTATCACTTTGGTATATATGGTTGTGCCAATTTTCTTCCACATATCGATCTGAGGAAGCGGGTCTGGCCCATGAAAGCTCATCACCTAATAAACCATCTTGTTAGTCTTTAAAGTGCTACGTAGTCCTGTCTTGTGTTTCACCTTTCGAACAAGAGTGACTGGCTTCAGGAAACACCCTCCGCTTCATTTGCATCAGGGATGGAACAGGGAGGCATCGCCATTAACATACAGAATGGAGAGCAGAGATTCCAAAGCAAGCACTCTGGGACACACAAAGCAGGAGCAGTCATCAGATCAATTTTAGTAAAACCCTTTAGTGGTATCCAAATTACTGAATTGGCTTAATTGCATTCTGAGGTCCTGGAAGGAACACCGCCCATAGCCAGGAATGATTAGTTCCTATTGTGTGTAGCCTAAACTAAACCACTTTAGAATACTCCCTTGAACTCTGTTTGCCTACAAACAGATCTAGTGCTCCTTCTTCAACCATTGTTGTTCCCCTACACCAGTGTTTCTCAACTTTTTTTTTTGTATAAAGTCCTCCTTTTAAAAAAAATTATAAGTTCATCCAGTACCTACAGTTTTCAGACACATCAATTTTTTTTCTACCATTGCAATACATTTGTTTAAACATCTTAACCGTAGCCAGGTGGGCAATGACATTTTTGGGTGTAAAAAGTACAAAAATAATAAAGCGCTGTAAAACTTAACATAAAAATTCAGTTTTCTCCAAATTTCAGTTGTGTTGACGTACCCCCAGACATCTCTCGAGTACCCCTAAGGCTACTCGTACCACTGGTTGAGAAACACTGCCCTACATAACCCCCTACCCACAACTCAAATAAAAAGTACTCCGATACCTGGATCTAAATTGTGTCCGCGCCATTGGGACTTCATCTTCTACTGACTGATGATACTGGGAGTTCTGCTCCGCCTGTCTCCAGCACTCTGGACCTCCAGCTACCATCACCCCATGGGAACCCCAATTGATTCAGGCTTTACGGAGTGCTGAGATCTCTCTCACTCTAGGTGTAGCCTCCTGACTGTTGTGTGATCAGTTTGTTAGCCCTAATTTTTGTAATCAGATTTAAGTTAAATACTGTAACAGTTTTGTTTGTTTAGCTCCATTTGTGTGGTTACTAGGGATGTCAACTGGTTAACCAGAAAACACCCACCTTACTGGGTGAGGCTTACGGGTTAACCAGTGGCCCAGCTGGGCTGGAACAGGCCCCGTCGCACCGTGCAAGATAGCTTCATTGGGAGGTAACAGGTAGGAGGGAGAAGTAGAGCTCCGTATAAGAACACAAGTAGCATATTGATAGAATTATCAACCTCCCCCCCAGAAGAGTAACCCTAAGTAATGAGAATACCCCAAACAACGGGCAAATCTTGTAACATGTGCTAGCGTCTGAAAACCAGACGCACAGCTAATGTTCATATCTTCAAGTATAAAAAGGGCATATACACACAAAATGTATAAACAGAATCAGCGAATCATAAGCTTTCTATAGACACCTCACTTGGCCCATTGTGTAGAAAAATATAAGAATGATTGCAACAATGCTTTGTATTTCATACCACATAAGAATGGCCATACTGCGTCAGACCAAAGGACTATCTAGCCCAATGTCCTGTCTTCCCACAGTGGCCAATGCCAGATGCCCCAGAGGGAGGGAACACATCAGGTAATCATAACATGATCCCTCTCCTGTCATCCATTTCCAGACAGGGGATAGAGACACCATTCTTACCCATCCTGGCTAATGGCCATTGATGAACCTAACCTCCATGAATCTATCTAGCTCTTTTTTGAACCCTGTTGAAGTCCTAGTCTTCACAACATCCTCTGGCAGGAGTTCCACAGGTTGACTGTGTACTGAATGAAGAATAATTTCCTTTTGATTGTTTTAAATATGCTGCCTATTCATTTCATTTGGTGATCCCTAGTTCTTATATTGTGGGAATAAATATATAACTTCCTTATTCACATTTTCCACACCAGTCATGATTTTATAGACCTCTATAACATCCTCCCTTAGTCTCCTCTTTTCTAAGCTGTAAAGTCCAAGTCTTTTTAATCTCTTTTCATATGGACCCATTCCAAACCCCTAATCATTTTTGTTGCCTTTTTCTGAAGCTTTTCCAATGCCAATATATCTTTTTTGAGATGAAGCAATCATGTCTATGCGCAGTATTCAAGATGTGGGCACACCATGGTTTTATTTAGAGGCAATAAGATATTCTCTGACTCATTATCTCTTTTTTAATGATTCCTAACATTCTATTTGCTGTTTTGACTGCCACTGCACATGGAGTGGATGTTTTCAGAGAACTATCCACAATGACTCCAGGATCTCTCTCGAGTAGTTGTAGCACAATCCAATAACCTCACATTAGGTCAGATCAAAGGTCCATCTAGCTCAGTATCCCATCTGCCAACAGTGGCCAATGCCAGGCGCCCCAGAGGAAACGATCCTAGTGCCACGCATCTGTCATTCTGTCTCAGCTGCCTTGCAGTATCAGATCATGCTCCAAAGAGAACTCAGGGTCCAGGCAGTGCGTAAAGCCATATCTATCGTTTGTTTCCCAGAAAGTCGTTCATTTCTCGCTCTCCTCATTTTGCCATTGGCAAGCTTCTCTTGAAAGCACGTGTCATCTTCCAAGAGACAGATCATTCAGTCGGGAGTAGTTCTCATGATGATACAGGATTCAAACTGACACATTTGCTGGTTTTTTCCCCTGAAGTGCGCCAATGTCAGAGCACTTTATGAAAATTAAATAGGAACAGTAGCATTAACTCATATGAGGGTGACTGGCTACTGGTTATTACTAACTTCCTGAGACATCAAAAATGAGAGGTCATCAGTGCAAGCACCTTTTATCGCCCTGTAGACTTCACAGCGTCAGTACAATGCCACTCACTTTGGCTACTTAGTTTTTCAGTGCATGTGGTCTAGCTACAGTAATCAGCAACTTAACGGGTCTGTACTAATTACTGCGGACACTGTCTAACCAGCACCTCACTCACCCACCCACAAGTCCTAACATCTGAATCAGAAGCACAGCGATTTTACCAGGAATG